AGTGCCGGTTTTTGCGGTGCGCGGCCAGGCGGGGGGGGGGGGCAGGCAGGCAGTCAAGCAGGCAGGCAGGCAGGCAGGGGGGTGGCCCCAGCTGTGGCAGCTGCGTTGTAGCGCGAGCGGCCGGCTGCCGGGCCCGCCGCACCCGCCCGCCGCCCTCACCTGCTCGGGGTGCAGGGTGGACAGGGCGCAGAGGCCGGTGAGGATGGTGCCCATGGGGTGCGCGTCGTGAGGCAGCGCCGCAATCGTCTGCTCCACCGCCACAGGCAGCGCTGCAGGGGGGCCCGGGGGGTGTCACAGCAGGTGAAGGGAGGTGGGAGGCCTGGGCTGAGTAGAGACGCGAGGCTGGCTGCCTGCCAGCCAGCCAGCCAGCCTGTCCGCGGGCCAGGCATGCGGCAGGCAGGGCCCGGCGCCGGCGAGGCGGGCTGGGCACGTGCGCTGACCCGAGTGCCGCATCACCGCCTCTGACCAGCGCTGGTGCTGGTCGGGGGTGGGCAGGCTGCCATACACCACCAGGTAGGAGACCTGCAAGAGGGGCGGGAGGGGAGAGGAGGGAAGGGGCCGGTCGCCGCGCGCATGCCGGTCCATGCACCCATGCTCCCAGCCCACTCCCACGGTACCCAACTTTCCCCTGCCCCCCCCAAAAGCAGCTCTCGCCCCCCCCCACCTCCCTCCCTCCCTCCCCGCCCCCTGCGCGCGCCTCGAGGAAGTTGGAGCGCTCCGCCAGCTGCTCAATGGGGTATCCGCGGTACCGCAGGATGCCTCGGTCGCCGTCGATGTACGACACCCGGCTCTTGCAGGCCGAGGTGTTGACGTAGCTGAAGGGAGGGGGAGCAGCAGCAGGGAGGGGCGAAGGGGCGACGAGGTGGGCAGAACAGGAAGACAGGGGAGCGAGCCGAAAATACGCAAGCATTGGCATCAGACTGGAGACCAAACCCTGCGGCTGTGCACAGCCGCAGTACCCATGCCTCCCAGGTGCCCCCAGCCCCCCGAACCTCACCCGTTGTCGTATGTGCGCAGCCCCACGCCGTCGCCGCCCGCCGTGATCTGCTTCAGGTCTGTGGCCTTGATGGTGCCGTGGTCGCTGACGGCGATTTCGTAGCGCCGCCCCGTGCGGTTGTCGATGACCGTCAGGCTGCCCGGCCCGCCGCCGGGCGTCGCCCTGCAGCAGCAGCAGCCTTGCGCTTCGGGAGGCGGCGGCAACTGGCGGAGGCCTGCATTGCCAGCGCATGCGCGGCGGCGGCGTTCCGGCGGGCTCGTCACGGTGTCGGCAATCCCACCTCACAGCGTCCTCGGCCGAGGTGTGCTCCGCTTCGACACTGTCCCCTTCCGCCAGGCCCATCGCAGCCAGATGACGCTGCAGGGCACTCAGGCGCGCGGAGGCCTGCATGTCGATGCTCGCAGGCGACTCGTCGCGACGCCAAGGGGACTCGAGGAGCCGGAGGTGGAAGATGCTAAATGGCACCACCAAAGAGGCTTGTCAGGCGCTCAGAAGCTGTGGTGCTGAACAGCAATGCGAATGCACACTGGGTTGCTGCTCGCGACAGTTGAAGGGCTCTTTTCATTGCGCCCGCCAGGTGGCGCCGCCGTCAAGCTGTCCAACGCCATGGGGACATCCACATCTCAGCTGAGACCACTGAACTGAGAGCAGCTGAGAGGTGCGTTGTGACACAATGAACAGGCGGAGCAAGGTGCAGGCATTGCATGACAGACGGCAGCCTGCAGGGTTCGGCAGCGGCGCCCACACCAGAGACGGGCACCGCTCCTCTGGCGCTTCATGAGAGGGGCGCATCTGCTGTCAAGGAGCATGCCCAGCACATAGCTAGCATGTCTGGCAGAGGCAAACCTTGCTGGCGGTGCTTCAAAAGAGCGCATGGAAAACGGGCGCCGGCCAAGCGGGCGGGCCGCCCACCTCCCTTTCAGGTTGTCAGGCCTGTGCAAGCCGGACTCTCCGCATTCTTCGCACCCATAACTGCTACACTCACAATATTGCAGCCGTGAAGCTTGTGGGCGTCTGCCACATCCGCCACATCCCAAGCCATGGCCGTGACCAGGCGCAGGCGGTAGCGGCACATACCTAGGTGCGTGGCTGGTGAGGCCATCTTGCAGTGCGGCAGCCTCCCCGGAGACCCGCGGCCCTTGCTCGGGGAATGCCGTGTTGTTCTGAACCCCGCAGCAAACTGGCTGTGGTGTTGCTCATATGTTCTCGAGGACCGCCACATGCACATCATGCAGGAACCCGGCACGCCATGGGCTGGTTCCGGCAGCTGGTAGGCGGCGCCGCCAGCGCCCCGCCGCCACCGCCGGAGCAGCAGCAGCAGCAGGAATCGCAGGCTCAGGATGCACAGCAGCTGGCGCAGCTGCAGCCTGAAGGCCAGCAGCATCAAGAACAGGCGCAGGATGAGGCGGGGCAGCAGCAGGCTTGGGAGCAGCAGCACGCCCAGCAGGCCGGCCAGGCGGGCAAGGCTGTCCGCTTTGCGGGCGATTCGGCAGCCGCGGAGGCTGCTTGGATGCCCGCGGCAGCAGCAGCAGCAGCAGGAGCAGGAGCAGGAGCAGGAGCAGGAGCAGGAGCAGGAGCAGGAGCGGGCATTCTGAAGGGTTCGCCAGGCCAGCAGCTGGAGCTCGACATGCGGGGCCTGGGCCCGGGCGGCGGCGGCTATGACGGGCTGGAGGGGATAGAGGAGGAGTGGGAGGAGGAGGGTGAGGAGGCCTGGTACTACGGCGCCGAGCTCAGCACCCGCGGCTGGCGGCACGTGGAGAACCAGATGGCGGCGTGGCTGGCGGCGGTGCTGGTGGTGGCCATTGCCATCAACATTGGGGTGGCGGGTGAGCACGCCTGCTGTCAGCCTGCTGTCAGCCTGCTGGGCTGGTGGTGCCGGGAGGGAGGAGGGGCAGGCGCCGCTGGCTGCTGCTGTGCGCCCTGTGCTGCGCACGCGCCCGGGAGGGTGCCGCTCGCTGCTGCCGCGGGTGCTGGAGGCGAGCGCGGCTGTGGCCCCCGCCGGCTGCGTGCAGTGAGCAACGACAACCGCAACCAAGTGAACGTCAGGAGCGTGCCGGTGCCGCCGCCGCCGCCGCCGCCCTCGCCGCCGCCGCCCTTCCCGCCCGACCCGCCGCCGCCGCTCCCGCCTAGCCCCAGACCGCCCAGCCCACAGCCACCCACCTTGTCACCTCCGCCACCCACCTTGTCGCCACCGCCACCCAAGCCGCCGCCGCCCACCTTGTCGCCACCTCAACCCAAGCCGCCACCCCCCACATTATCACCACCGCCGCCCAAGCCGCCGCCACCCCTCACCTTATCACCGCCGCCCCCCAGGCTGCTCCCTCCCCCGCCGGCCCCCTCTCTGCCGCTGTCGCCGCCTGTTCCTCCGCGGTCAGGCTGGTCCGACTGGCTGGGGCGGGAAACGCCGGAGAGCACCATCGGCATCTGCCCTTGCACCTCGCACATCGCTGTGAGCGCCCGTGGAGGGATCCAGCCGCTCAGCCTGAGCAGCCGGCTGGGGGGGAGCAGCTGGTGTCGGCAGGAGGCCAGCTGATGTGGCGTGGCGCCATGGCAGCGGCAGCTATGGCAGCTACTGCTGGCTGGCTACCGCACGCCCCCACGTTGCTGCAGCCTGGGGGCCTGCGCCGCCTGTTGAGCCCCCCCCCGCCCCGCTGCCGCTGCCTGCTGTGCAGTCTTGGAAGATTTGGTTTGAGGCGGGGGTGCAGCCCACTCCCGAGGACAGCGGGCCCATCAGCGGCAATC